CCCTTCCTGTATCTAGAGAGATGAAGCTGTTAGTCTTCAATTCTCTCATTTCTTTCTATGGATAGAACAACCAGTCTTTTTACAGCTCCTCCCCTGCATTTATATCATTGACCTTTGCTTCAGAAAGCATTCAGCAGTCTGTAACAGGGAGCCCATGAAAGGGGGGTGATGTGTGGCTCTATTCTGTAAAAGAAGTCACACAGACAAAGCTTTATGTTAGTTGAGTGGTTGAATTCATATACATTCCAAAACTGGCTGTGAGCTATGAGTAACATGATAGAAAGGCACTTATAGTGCAGATCTCACAAGCACACTTCCCTCTTGAGTCCCTTGTTTTTTGTTGTTTTTTTTTAAGTGAAAAGAAAGCACCTCCTTTCCTGTTATTTTTTTTAAAAATCTACCCAGGAAAAGTGAGGTGTGATATATAGATTCAATCAGTGGCCTCATCAGGATTCCTGGAGTTAACTCTGGTTGGTTTTAAAATAAGTAACTAACGGGTAAATTCTCCAGGCAGAAAGATTCCAGCTGACATTGGTGTTTGGAGTGCCCAGAACAGAATTTTAATGGGAAAACACCTTAAAGACCATTGGTCCTCAACCTTCCTAATGCTGCAGCTCTATAGTAATACAGTTCCTCATGTGGTAACCCCCAAACATAAAATTATTTCATTGTAACATCATAACTGTAATTTTGCTACTGTTATGAATCATAATGTGAATATCTGATACACAGGATATCTGATATGTGACCCCAAAAGGGGTCATGACCGACAAGTTGAGAATTGCTGTTAAAGAGGCAGCAACAACTCGGGAAACATGGCTATATCATAGCTATGGGATGTTTATGATTCATTGTGTCATGGTTGATCCTCAGAAGTAACTCCTGATCCATTTATATACTAAGCAATGTCTTAGAGGAATGAAGAGCAAACCTGTTTCATAAATACTTCAGAATGCTTGAAACTTGGCTAATAAAATGCAGTTAGCCATCTTTAGTACAAGGGATATTTCTTTGTTGTTTCATCACATATAGAAGTGCTTAAGTGATCACTTCTTGCTGAATCACAAGATCTTCCTGTTTCAAGTGTGATGAATGCATATTTTCTTTGCAAGACAATTTAGTAGCTTTGGGGTATCTTTGAGTAAGACTAGATATGTATTGGGGGCATCTTTTATGTTTTTCAAAGTTACTTAAGAGGTGTGTTTAGTAAATATCTATTGGATTTTATAAAAGTGCAGTGCTCACCATCTATATGGATAATAAAAAGGTTAAAACTGTCATCTAACTTGAATATCTAAATATTTGCTGTTGTATTCTCTGCGAACCTTGGGTATTACCAACCTACCACAGGTTTTCAAACAGGAGATTGTTCATCTTCTATTGGGAAACATTTGACTTTTACTATAGTAAGGAAGATATAATATTTACTCTATACTAGATAGACAAGAATCACTGGTCAGAACTGTAGAGGCAGTGAGCTATGATGCATCTGATCCACAGAATGATAGTGACCAATTAACCCAACTCACTGTAAACAATAACTCTGCCTTGTCAATAGCAAATTAAAGATTATGACTTCCACCTGGAATAGTTAGTTACCTGGAGAATGAGGAAAGTATTTATTAACATAGGTCTTTGACACAGAGGCTCATTGGTTTTATAGTATTATTGTTGTTGTTGTTGTTATATTATTCCTGCTTTTAGAATGCCTCCATTTTAGTTTTTTTCTGTAAAATCACATATTTGCTAGGAAATTGTATGTCTGAATATACTAGGTAGCTTTAAATAGAAATGCAGTTCAATACATGATTTTTTAAGATACAATATTTGAGAGGTGGTAAGTATGTAATATTAACACAAGACTGACCTTTCTTTTCTAGATTAGATTTATTTGAGTAAAACCATACTAACTTTTGTTTTGTACTTTACTACTCCTTTTTTGTCAATTCTTCAGATAACCATGACAAGCAGAAGAGAAAAGCTGTCTTAGATACTCTTCCTGTTGTTGTGATAAAATGCTCAGGCAAAAGCAACTTCTGGCAGAAAGGACTTATTTCAGCCCTCAGCTCCAGGCTGCAGTCCATAATGGTGGGAAAGTTCTGATACCCAAAGCTTATGGCTGCTGGTCATATTGCATCTGCAGTCAGGAAGCAGAGGATGCTGAATGCTCCTACTTAGCAACCTTTCTCATTTTTCTGCATGTCAGAACCCAATCCACTTTGAGGATGGGTCTTCCCACCTCCGATAACATAGTGGAGATAATCCCTCATAGGTGTGCCTCAAGTCTTGCCTTCTAGATGATCCCGGAGCCTCTGAAGTTGGCAATCAATGCTAACCAAAGAAACAAAGTTCAACTCTGTTTAAAATATTTTCTTAGGGGTAGAAGGTAAAACTTCCTGGTTGGACTAGGGGCATAGGAAACTGAGAAGCATATCTTAAATAAATAAATAAATAAATCCTGTAGATTTGTAAACTACAAGTAGAGTATCCATGGTTAAAAGTTATATTGCTTCTGCAAAATTCAGTCCAGAGTCCTAATAATCTTCAAATGTAGAACTTCTATTTTTATTGCAGTGGATAGGTAGCAGGGAATTGCATTAGCTGACATGCATTAAGAGCTGTGTAAGTATTAATAGTTTTAGCTTGACCTGCTGAACTGAACCAACAGCTCCTTAGGGAATCACTATTAACAGCTAAATCTCTAAAAAAAAATTAGTTTTAAATGTAGCTTCCAGTTAAACTGTCTCCTATCCAGTGTGACTGCTGCCAAGATCTGCTCAGACAAAGTCTAAATTTTTGAGATCTAGAATGAACATATAAAGAAAGACATTTTCCTCCAAGTGTAGTGATGCACACTTGTAGTCACAGCATTCAGAAGGCTGAAAAAAAGTTAGAGGGCAGCCTGGACTGGATGACCTACTGAATGCCTGTCTTCAAATAAAACAAGACAATCAAAGAAAACTAGTATCCCTGTTGAATGTTGGGGTATTTCAATCTGGTTAGCCAATGATTTACCAGACTCTGTTGGATTCACACTACAATTGAAGAAAAGATGGGGCAAAGAGAAAATACTTTAACTTTTCTCCCAAGAACCCTGGTAATTAGTGTTTTTAATTTTTTCCTCTTCCCAGTGCCTAATTCCAATTTTTAATCTGTATATTTATTGAGCATTCATCAAGTATTTATTGAACATATACAACAAACCAGGAATTTGGTGTTTTTACATTTCTGAGATTACCAAGTTGGTTACATATGTAATCCTTGAATTGAAACACACACTTATCATGATGTACATTAAAATAGTCTGTTACAGAGCACTGTCCCTGTAATTGTGATAAGTCTTGATGAAAGTTTTCTCTAGTTGGTCCACAGAGATCTTGTGGTTCTCCATATTTACATTTTGATCCCAAGTGTAATTTGTTCTATATTCTTTCAACATACTAAGCTTTTTTCTCATTAGATTATAAAATTCCTAAAACAGAGGCTGCTCCTCCTGTGTATGGTGGGAGGCTGGTTTATGTGGATCACAGCAATGAATGTCCCTAGCTTCTGTTTTGATTCATTCAACAGAAGCCCCTGATTTGAAAAAAATAATAATCTGTGTGTGATAGCATATGCCTTTAATCTCAGTACTTAGGAGGTAGAAGTAGGAGGATCTCTGTGACCAGCCTGGTATATATAGTGAGTTCCAGGATATGCAGGACTACACGGAGAGTCCCTGTCTCAAAAAAATTAAAAATGTAAAAGTTTTATGTTTTATTGATTGGGAAGAACTGTTATTATTCTTATAATGGTCATCTAAGAAAAGAAAAGAAATAGAAATTGTGGTCTACTAAGTAAACATTTTAAGTCCTTTCTATTTACTTTGAGGGGTTGGTTGATTAGCCTAGAATTTTTATGGGATTTAATGCAGAAGCTGGAGATATGGCTTTGGGATTAAGAGTACTTGCTGCTCTTACAGAGGTCTAGAGTTCAGTTTCTATTACCTATGTCATGACAATAACCTGTAACTGAGCTCCAGGATATCCAGTGTCTTCTGGCTTCTATGGGTACCCACAAACATGTACATATACATATGCCCAGACACACAAACATATAAGTAAAAATAAAAATCTTAACAATTAGTATAAAATGCAGCAGGCATCCCCCATTCCAGTTATAATTACTTAATTGTGAACTCCATCTTACCAGAACTATGATTTAAATATATTGTAGATTTGGAATAGAGAATTATATAAAGTTACTAGTCTAGAAATGAGTGTGAACTAGTTCATTTGTCAACATCTGTTTTGTTTGTTTTTGGTAGTTGTTGCTGTAGCTGTTTTTTGAGAAAGGGTTTCTCTTTGTTACAGCCCTGACTGTCCTGGAACTAGCTTTGTAAACCAGACTGTTCAGAGATCCTCCTGCCTCAGCCTCACAAGTACTGTGAAAAAAAAGGCATGAGCTGATTTATCAAGCTCTTAACCTTCACATTTATGAGCCAGAAGCCAGGTAGACTGACGTATTTTCTCCAAATTGGAACAGATGCATGTAGAGCAGTGGGATAATATTGAAATGACTTACAGCCATGGTACGATAAGCCCCAGTGCTCATTAAAGAAAGGTTTTACACTGGGAACTCCCTATCTCCATGGGTCCTTTGCCGTGTGCTTTAAAGTATCCAAGCATAAAGGATGGAACTGCCATGAAGTGTTATTTTCACTTCTATTAGCTGAATTATATCCATGAAGTTATCCAGTTTTGGAGACTGAGGCAAGTGGATTATGACTTCAGGCAAACCTGAGCTACATAGTGAAGTCCAGCCCAGACTGGGCTACAAAGTGAGACCAGGTTCCAGGAAACAAAACTAATCAAACACAAGCCATCAAAAACATTTTATGCCTCTGGAAAGTAGAATCTAGTAGAAACTCTTGGCTTTGTTGGGATGATTTTTGGAGCATTTGACAATACAGTTTTGAAAATCGCTTAAGTTTTGTCCATTTTACTGTATTTTATTTGCAGTTCTGGGAAGTGCCAGTGCAGAGTGGGGGTCACTGGCTCCATGTGTGACCGCTGCCAAGACGGATATTATGGCTTTAACAATACAGGCTGCTTGCCCTGCCAGTGCAACGATCGGGCTAACAGTTGTGATGCTCTCACAGGTATGTAGTTTCCTTAGTATGAAATTACTTATTCCTCCAATCTTGAAGTCTTTACATATTGATCCTTTTCAAATTGTTTATAAGTCCTTGTTCTTTTCAGTAGATATAATAAGGCATACTTTTATAACCACTTGATATTTTATGAATTTCAAAAAGTATGTTGATTGAAGAGCTATAGAAGTATGGAGAACAACACAAAATGAAGTGAAGACTGGGAAAAATGTGTCAGAATCCCTCCAACTGAACCATGCTCACTTGAGAAATCCTGTGTGAAAGAACTGAGGCTCTAGGAGACCTGAGGAAGAGTCAGGTGGATCCAGGATTTCAGAGTGCAATTTACTGAGGTCTTATTTACACAACTGTTGTCTAGGATGGTAGCAAGATTAACCCATCCTCACAATGTGGATCAGCAAGTTGTGAATTATGTGCTGTTAAGGACAAAGGTGACTTTCATTAAACCTGGAATGTAGGTAGTTTATCTCAAGCTAGTATCAAAGATGCCAAGCACATTCCTGATGATATCAGACAGGTCTAGTATTAAAGTTCCATTTACTGTACCACTCTATTTTTTTAATCTGCAGTGTGTAAGAAAACTATATAAGAAAAGGGCACAGAGTTACTTAGGCATAGTCATGAAAGTTATGGCTCATGATATCTACAATTAAGTCAGACTGTATCTGTACACCACATGCTTTCTTTCTAAGGGAGATTTGCCAGTTCTGAGCACAGGCTAGGGAGTAAGGGTTGGCTCAAGGTAAGGATTTGTACTTGAAGAAGAGCTTTTGACAGCCATTTGGAGCCTGCAGGCTAGTTGGAAACTAGAGGAGCCCTAAAAACAAGACCAGTTTTCCCAAAGCTGACTGTAAAGGAAATGGACAGCCAGGCCAGAAGTTTTTTATGCTGAAGAAACAAAATTCTTTTAGAGAGAAGAGGACTTGTTAAAACATACAGCCAACATTTTTAAAAATCCATTGTCAAACTCTAATGATGCATGGAATGAATCTGAATGTTTGAAGCCCCAGTGGCCAGTGCTGAATCTCTCAAGTCTTTCAGAGGTGAGGAGACAAAGATCTGCTAGATCCTTTTTTATTATTATTTAAATTAGAAACAAGGTTGCTTCATAAGTCGATCCCAGCTCCCTCTCCCTACCCTCCTCCTACTTCCCCCCACTAACCCTGCCAGCTCCCCTCCCAATCCCCACTCCATTCCCCAGGGAGGGTGAGGCCCTCCATGGGGGATATCCAGAGTCTGTCATTTCATTCAGGGCAGGGCCTAGGCCCTCCTCCATGTGCCCAGACTGAGAGAGCATCCCTCATTGTGGGATGGGCACCCAAAGTCCATTTTTATGCCAGGGATAAAGACCACATAAATTGCCAGACCTCCTCACTGACACCCACATTCAGGGGCTCTGGATCAGTCCCATGCTGGCCTCTCAGCCATCAGTCTGGGGTCCAAGAGCTCCCCCTTGTTCAGGTCAGGTGTTTCTGTAGGTTTCATCAGCCAGTCTTGACCCCTTTGCTCATTACTCCTCCCTCTCTGTCACTGGGTTCCAGGAGTTCAGTTCAGTGTTTAGCTGTGGGTGTCTGCCTCTGCTTCCATCAGTCATTGGTTGAAGGTTCTAGGATGGCATATAAGGAAGTAGTTGAACTTATTATCAGGGAGGGGCATTTAAGGTAGTCTCTGCACTATTGCTTAGTTTGCCAGTTGATGTCATCCTTGCAGAATTCAGGAAATCTCACTAGTGCCAGATCTCTCCTCAAACCTATAATGACTCTATAATACCCTCTATTATGGTATCTCTCACCCTGTTCTCCTCTATTCTTCCCCCAACTCAACCTTCCTACTCCCCCATGTCCTCCTCTCCCCTCCTCTTCTCCCCCTCTCTTTTTCCCAGTTCCTTTTCCCCTCCTCCCATGCTCCTAATCTAATCAGTAGATCTTGCCTCATTCCCCTTCTCTGGGGTACCATGCATATCTGTCTTAGGGTCCTACCTCTTTCCCAGACTCTCTGGCAGTGGAATTGTATGCCGACACTCCCCTGATCCATGTCTAAAATCATATATGAATGAGTACATGCCATGTTTCTCTTTTTGTGACTGGGTTATCTCACGCAGGATGGTTTTTTCTAGTGTCATCCATTTGCCTGCAAATTTCAAGATTCCATTGTTTTTTTCTGCTGAGTAGTACTCCATTGTGTAAATGTACCACATTTTCTCTATCCACTCTTCAGTTGAGGGGCATCTAGGTTGCTTCCAAGTTCTGGCTATTACAAATAATGCTGTTATGAACATAGTGAAACAGACGTCCTTGTTGTATGAATGTGATTTGCCAGATTCTTAATCCAAAAGGTGGTGCAAGGAAATAGTGAAAACCTAGAGGTGAGCTGGCAGATATGAAACCTGCAGTCTGTGTGCAGCTCACTCCCACGCCTGACTGAATTGAGACCATCACTTTCTCTTATTCGCCTAATACAGGAAAAGAAGACCCTCTTTGATTCTTTTATATATCAGGTGTGACATACAGTAAATAACAGAGAATACAAACATGGTGAGATTTGACAAGTAATAAAACTATAAGCAATGGAGTCAGCACTATGGGTAATACTGTTGCTAATGTTAACTTTGAAACTTTAAAATAACTAAAATTGGTATAGTAAGGAATTAGAGAGAAAAATCAGACAAAATGGGTAAAAAGAGACAAAATTTTACTAGAAAATAGCACTGCACTATACTCACTCGCGAGCACACAGGGTGGGGCGAAGATCATGAGGACTAGGGTGATAGCTCAGTTAGTAATTATGCAAGTATAAGGACCTGAGTTCTAACCTCAGCACCTATGCAAAAATGTTGTGCATGGTTTTATGTGTGCGGGTGCTTTGTCTGCATGTATGTCTGTACACCACATGTGTGCAGTGCCTATGGAGGTCAGAAGAGGGCATCTGACCCCCTGTAACAGGAGTCGTACACAGTTGTGAACCATTGCCATGTGGGTACTCAGAATTGAATGTGGGTCCTCTGAACCATCCATCTCTCCAGCCCCAGTGCCATGAATTTGTAATCCCAGTGCCAGGGAAAGAGACACGAGAGTTCCCGGGACTTGCTGGCCATTCAGTCTACTGTAATTGGTGAGCTCCAGGCCACGGAGAGACTCTCATCTCAAAGGAAGTGGACAGCAATTCTGAGGGTGACACTTGAGATTGTCTTCTGGCATACACTGTGCACACATACAAGTGTACTTGCATGCAAATGAACCTGCTCACACATACACATGCACTAAAAAGAAGCCATCTAAAACTGCAAATTAATGATGATTTAAGTTAGGAAATTATGGCATAAGCTTAAGAGCAGGCTTTACCCATTGGTTAGCATTTCCTGATGCTCCTCAGGAAATGTAACATCCTCTGCTACACACTATCTCATGCACATGCAGTTTTTCAGAGTGTTGTCACAATTGATGTTTACATGTTTACTTTCATGTGCTTACTCAGTACATGGTACGTTCTGTCAGGGCAGGAACAGCGTCAGCCCCATGCCCATGTTTACAGTGTCTAGCACAGGTATCGGCACATGCTGAGCACTCACTGAATCTTTGTTGGATAAATGAACAGACTAGGAGAAAACATGAAAAAGAAGAGTGAGGCTCAACATTAGGTAACAATGCCTCATTGTGCTGAATCATTAGTTCCTGGGTCCTTTACAGTACCAGAAAGCAATGTACACGATTCTTTTTCTTTCTAACAGTGAGGCGGCTCCCACACTGACCTGAGATAAAGTAAAATAAATTCTTTGAATGATTCTGGTTTACAAAAGAAACAAATGGTTTACCATATGAAAAATAAAATAAGGTAGAATCCATTGCAAAGGAGTGAGCACCTGACTTAGAGCAGCCATCTACTTTAGTCACAAATGCGTTTTCAACAGTGCTGTGACATGGCTGCCCTCTGGTGGCCACATTGTATGTTTGCACAGTTGTTCTTCCCACTAGTTTTGGAATCTCTGTTTTACATTGATTTAGGTTTTCAAAGTTCTTGTTTTTGCAGAAGAATATTTTGGTGAAAATATCACCTGGAAATTTTTGACAATAGGTGTAAAAAGTGTCTTGAAAATATTTGACCCAGAAATTCTATTTTCAGGAGCCTTCTGAGAAAATAATTCTAAATTAATAAAAAAGTTTTTTGTTAAAAAAGAAAATGCTCATCAGACTGGTAGTTATGATAATAAAAAGCCTGCTACTTGGATAATATATGATTAGGAACCTAGAAAATCAGAACCACCTAGTAAATTATTGTAAAACTGAATACAATTGTATATCTGCAGTGCCTTGATCATAATAAACAGCCAAGAATTAGCACCTATTAGAATGCTTTCATTGCGGCGCTTTTTTTTTTTGTTTTGTTTTGATTTTCGAGGCAGGGTTTCTCTGTATTGTTTGGAGCTTGTCCTAGAACTCGCTCGGGAGACCAGGCTGGTCTCAAACTCACAGAGATCCTCCTGCCTCTGCCTCCCGAGTGCTGGGATTAAAGGCATGCGCCACCAACACCCGGCTTCATTGCAGCGCTTTTATGAATGACAAATAACTACATGACAATGTGAATAATCTGCCTGTAAAATGACAAGTACCATGTAATTAGACTGCTTCGATGACAAAGCCCAAGTCTCTAGAAATGAGGGGCACTTTTCTTCTTCTTTCACTTGTTTCCAGATTTTTGTTATTTAGTACATTTTCCTTAAATGAAAACATAAGAGAGTCAATTGTTTTTTAACTGCAAACTTTTCCTTCAGATGGTAGACTTACTTTTAAGAACTCAAGGCCCTTTTTTTTCTTGGTAGTGTCCTGCGCAAGAGAGACTGCAGCAGCCTGACTCACTGCCCCCTTGACTGCTCAGGAGCTAGCTGCTTTGCTTCAGGATACCACATTCTCCTGGCTTTCTTCCTGTGCGGCTACTTTTCCTTCTCCGTCAGCTGTGCTCCATCTCCCTTAATGAGTTCTATACTAGTGCCTTGGAGCTTGGAGCTTATCACATTTGTCCTCTGCACGTGTACCTTCCCTCTGAGTGATCTCACCCAGATTTACCTTACATGCAATCAATGTATGTGCTGTTGTCAGATTTGCATCTCCCTTGATCTCCATGCTCAAAGATCAATGTGCCATTCTTTAGTTTTCTTTTCAACCAGTGCTGTCTTTAAGATGCTTGTTTGTGTACATAGGTAGTTCATTATTTGACCATCAAATCCAAACTATGAAAGTGCCACAATTTATTTACTCTTCTATTAACATAACTTTTCTTTGTACAAAGTCTGTTTTTAGTGTGTAGCCAATTAACCAATAATGCAGATTGTGACTATAATCATGCACCCAACTTTTTTCTCATTAGAGACATTAAATTCATAGACAAGGCTAGTTCAGTAATTAATCAGGAAGGGTTGGAAGATGGCTCAGCAGTTAAAAGCACTTGTTTCTTGCCAGGTACCAGGTTGGGTTCCCAGCACCTGCACTGGGCAGCTCACAACCACCTGTAACTCCAGTTCAAAGAGCACCAGATCCCTCTTGTGCACTCTGAGGCACTTGCACATACATGGTGGGTAGAAACATAGTTAGGCAACTCATGCATATACACAGACAACTATTTTTAATTAGATGTATTTATTTTATTGTTTTATCATTTGAGTGTTTCCCCTGCATGTATGTGTGTGTGTTTGTGTGTGTGTGTGTGTGTTGTGCCTGGAGCTCAGGGAGGTCAGAAGAGGGTGGTTTCCCTCCATAAATATTTTTTCTTTACTTTTTTAAAATAACAAAATAGAAACCAAACACTACTCCTGTTATTTTTTCTGTATAGTTTTATGGTCTTCTTGTTGCAGGCAGGGTTTCTGAAAGTTCCTTAACACTGAAACAGTAATTTGATTCTTTTAGGTGCTTGTTTAAACTGCCAGGAAAATAGCAAAGGGGATCACTGTGAAGAATGCAGAGATGGATTTTATCAGAGTCCTGATGCTACTAAAGAATGCCGCCGCTGCCCTTGTTCAGCAGTGACTTCTACAGGCAATTGCACAATAGGTAAGGGCTTTTCTTCTAGGTCTTCACTTCCTTCAGCGAAGTACACTGCAGTGATGAATTGAGTTCTGTAGGATGTAAGTGAAAGTGGAGTATAAAAATCACAGCAATTTTCCTTTCTACAAATTTGCAATCAAATACTAATACATATATGAAATGTTAACCTCAAATGTCCTAATAGCCATCACTGTGCATGTATCTGACTTCTTTCATATAGCATATTTTCAAAGTTCACCTATATTTTAATATATATCAATAATGCATACCTTTTCTTGTTGAATTGTATAGATGCTACACTGTATTTATTCTTCCCTGAATAGATGAACATTCAACAGTTATCTAGTATAAGTAATGTTTCTATGAACATTTCTGTTCATGGTTTTGTGAATATAATACAGCCAGTACACCCCCAAGTCAGTGGTTGCTGGATGTTTTTCCTAATACTGGAGATTGAGCCTGGGAATTCATTTGTGTTAACTAGGTAAGCACTCTGCCTGTGAGCTGCATCACGCAGTGGATGTGTGGAAAAGTGTTTTGATTTCTCTGGGATATATAAGTAGGAGTGAAATTGGTATGTTGTATTTCAGCTCTTTTTTTTTTTTAATTTTATTTTCCAGTTTAAATTTAGATAAGAATCAAGGTTGCTTCACAAGTCAGTTCCAGGTCCCTCTCCCTTTCCCTCCCTTCCTCCCGTGCCCTCCCCTCACCCCCCAGTTATCCTCTCCTTTCTCCAGGGAGGGTGAGGCCCTCCATGGGGGTGTCCATAGTGTGTCATTTCATATAGGGCAGGGCCTAGACCCTTTCCCAAGAGTTCTGGGTGAGAGTGCACCTCACATTGTTCTATTGGAGTCCAAAGTCCGTGTGTATACTTGGGATGGGTACTGATCTGCTGCCCAAGGCTCAATAGATTCCCTAGGCCTCCTCACTGACACCCAGATTCAGGGGGTCTTGATCAGTCCCATGCTGGCTTCCCAGGCTAATGCCTGGGATTCAAGAGTTAACCTTTGTCTGGTCAGCTGTTTCTGGGGGTTAAACCAGCCCAGTCTTAAACCCTTTGATCATCAGTCCTCCCTCTCTGTTACTGGCTTTCTTGAGTTCAGCTCAGTACTTAACCAAGGAGTCTGCCACTTCTTCGATCAGCCACTAAATAAAGTTTCTGTTTCCCAGACTCTCTGGCCATAGGATTGTAGGCTGGCACTCCCCAGATCTATGTCTAAAATCCATATATGAGAGAGTACATGCCATGTTTCTCTTTTTGTGACTGGGTTACCTCACTCAGGATGGTTTCTTCTAGTGTCATCCATTTGCCTGCGAATCTCATGATTCCATTATTTTTTTCTGCTGAATAGTACTCCATTGTGTAGATGTACCACATTTTCTCTATCCACTCTTCAGGTGAGGGACATCTAGGTTGCTTCCACGTTCTGGCAATTACAAATAAAGCTGCTATGAACACAGTGGAACAGACCTCTTTGTTGTATGAATGGGCATCTTTTGGATATATGCCTAAGAGTGGAGTTGCTGGGTCTTGTGGTAGGTTTATTCCCATTTTTCTGAGGAATCTCCACACTGATTTCCAAAGTGGCTGAACCAGTTGGCACTCCCACCAGCAATGGAGGAGTGTCCCCCTTTCACCACATCCTCTCCAGCATAAATTGTCATTAGTGTTTTTGATTTTAGCCATTCTGACAGGGGTGAGATGGTATCTGAGAGTTGTTTTGATTTGCATTTCCTGGATGGCTAAGGATGTTGAGCACTTTCTCAAGTGCCTCTCAGCCATTTTAGACTCCTCTATTGAAAACTCTCTATTTAGTTCTGCAGCCCGTATTTCAGCTCTTTTTAACTCTGTGAGAAAGCATCAGATTGTTTTCCAAAATTAAACACCCCATTTTATGTTATTATTTGAGGTGGGGTGATACATGTGTAATGTGTATGAATTTTATGTTGTGTGGAAGGCAGAGATACACATCGCTTGTCTCCAGTCTCCCTCCACCCTATTTTTTAAGATTTTTAAAAATTATGTGTATATATGTGTGTCTGTGGAGAATTATGTGCATGTGAGTGTATTGCCTGCAGAGGTCAGAAGAGGTCATCCAGTTCCCTGGGGTCCCCAGAGGTGGAGTTACAGGTCATTGTGAGCTGCCCTGCATGGGTGCTGGGAACTGCAGTCTCTAAGAGCAGTGCTTGCTACTAATCACTGAGCTTGTTCTCTAGCACCCCTCTTCGTGGGGGCAAGATTTCTCAGTAAACATGAAACTCACTGATTTTGGGTTAGCTAGCTAGCAAGCTCCAGGGATCTACGGTTCTCTATCTTCCCAACAGAGATGGTTGAAACACTGTTGTAGTGTTTTCCAGGTGGTTTCTAGGGCCCTGAACTCAGGTTCACACGCTTGCACATCAGCAATTTACTGATAAAGCTTTCTCTAACCCCTACGTCATCATTATTAACAAGAATATATGATGATTCTGAATTGTCCACAGCCTCAACAACACTTAAGATCTTTTTTATACCTGTGGCCATCCTAAAAGATGTTAAATGGTATTGCATTGTGGTTTTAATTTGCCTGTCTCTGATAGCTAACTATATGTTTATTGACCACTTTTTTTTATTTCTTTTGAGCAAATACCTATTTTCTTTGTAATGTAACAAATAAAGCTTATCTGAAGATCAAAGTGCAGAGCTAAGCCACTAGTTAGCCACACACCTAAGCCTCTAGTTAACCATAAAGGACAGGCAGTGGTGACCTCACCTTTATTTAATCCCAGCACTCGGGAGACATAGGTAGATGGATCTCTGTTAGCTCAAGGCTACCCTGGACTACATGAGAGTGAATCAGTCTAAAAATTCACACCTTTGACCCCAGCACTTGGGATGACATACCTTTAATCCTAGCACTAAAGGGGAATATGAGGCAGGAGGAAACAGAATGCACTGCACTATGAGGAGCAATACAGTTCAGAGCAGTTTGAGGTTTGGTGGATCACCCCTTCGGTCTGAGCATTAGTAAAGGTGAGAACTCTGAAGTAGCTGACTGCTTTGTTTCTCTTATCTTCAGCTTTAACCCCAATATCTGTCTCTGGGTTTTTATTAGTCATGCTACATTTGGATCTTTTGTTCATCTTAAAACTATGGTATTTGTTAGTCTTTATGTTGATAGAGTTATAGATACAAATCACTTATCAGATGCTTGGTTGTAAGATATGAGGGTATAGCTACATGGGAGAACTCTTATTTAGCAAGTAGTGTAGGGAAAATGGGCCAGTCAAAGAGACACACCCTGAGCAGAGCCAAAGAAACACACTTTGGCCCTGCAACCAGAACCAAAGAACCAAAGAAATGTATCCTGACCTGGAAACCAGTGCCAAAAGAACACACTTTGTCCCTGGAATCAGAGCCAGTGATTGGAGCCAAATGGCTAAAAAGGACCAGAGAAAAAAAACACACTTTGGCCCTGAAACCAGAGCCAAATCTGATCCTAATCCTGTGCATAAAACTAACCAATCCTGGAGCAGAGCTCTAGCCAATCTGAGCTCAGCACTAAAATCGGACCAATCCCTACCCTGGAAAAACTTCCCCGTCCCCCCAAGAATCCCTATATAAACCCTGTGTATGTTCAGCTTGGCTGGTCCAGCTGCTTCCTTCCAATAAACCCCTTTGATAAGCTTTGGGTGAAGATCTTCTTTTGCAGGGGCTGCGGCAAAGGAGCAGAAGTGACCCTGGGCAGAGTAGAGCAAGCAGGGCTGTAACACTTTTGCCAGAGAAATCTTCCCTTTGCAGAGGGGAGTTGTTACACTCTGCTCTCTGTTCTCTGCTCTCCTCTCTTGGGGAGCAGAGCTGAACTGTAGCAACTCCCCTCCCCCTCCCCCCAGAAACCTCCTGCCGAACAAAACTGCTACACTGGGAGAACATCCCCAACTGGAAGACCCTGTCCTGCAGAGCGGATACACTGGGGAAGCCTTTCCCTGAGGCAAGTCTGTAAGCTACTAAGCTTACTGTGGCCTGTGTTAGTCCTTGGCTCCCCATCTCCAGGATACCTTTCTGTGTAACACTCAGTATTCTGTGACTCCCCAGTGCCAGAATACCTGACCCATCCCGATCTGCCTGAAACGCTTACAAGTAGGAGGTCCTAGGTTTGCTCTCTAGCATTATAAAATAGTTGAATAAAAAGGTTAAAAAAACAATAATTTGTAAATATTTTCAGTTAGTCCATGAATCAATATTTTACTTCCTTGATGTCCTTTTTTAAGTAATCTTTTCTCATTTTACATACTAATCCTAATTCTGACTCCCTCCCCTCTTCCTGCTTCCCCTACCTTCCTCCAACCCCACCCCCATCCACTCCTCAGAGGGTAAGGCTTCCCATGGGGAGTCAACAAAGTCTGACACATCTTGATGTCCTTTTAGCACAAAGTGTTGTTTATTCGTATCATTTCAGAGGCACTCAGTTTAATTTTCTTTTGTTATTTATGCTGGTTTAGAATTTCTCATGAGACAGTAGTCAAGATGTTAGTCAAGGCTGTAGTCAGTAGTCTGAAGGCTTAGTTGGAACTGTAGAATCTGCTTTCAATATGGCTTACCTCATATGACTTGCTAGGAGCAAAAAGATTCTGTTAGTCACCGTGCAAATTTCTTCATTAAGCTACTTATTGTCCTTGCAACATGGCAGCTGGCTTCCACCACAAGTGAATGATCTAAAAGAGGGCAAGATGGAAGCCACAGTGTATTCTATCATTTAGTTTCTAAAGCCATAGAAATGTTTCCGATGCCCCATTACTTACTCATACCTATCCTATCAGCTATGAACTTGTGATTACCAGGAGTAGGGGACATTTGAAAGACTCTGGAAAGTCAGTTGCTATACCTAATGATAGGAACTGGTACATTCCTCTTTTCATAGGAAGCTCTGATAATTCTTTCATTTATTTCACAAATAGTAATTAAGCACCTAGTACATGTTTGTCATTGTGATAGAGAAGGGCTCTGCTATTATCCCTGGGACTGG